ACTTAATGATTATCTTAATTATATTTTTAATTTTTTATATTTAAATTAGATGTTTATTCTCTATTTGATTATGTTTATCTGCATTTAGTTACACAAATTCAAACATTAAGCTTTAGTAAGTTGTACTTACACACAATTTACTTATAATCTTAAATTTTAAGTAATATGCATCAATAAACAGTACATCATGCATAAAAAATATATACTATATTATAAAGCATTTGACAAAAACTCTTAAAAACCATTTTTTATGCATGAAGTATTGTTTATTGATGCATATTACTTATAATTTAAGATTACAAGTAAATTATGCATAAGTACAACTTATTAAAGCTCCATGTTTGAATTCGTGTAACTAACTGCGGATGAACATAATCAAATAGAGGATAAACATCACATTTTAAAATATAATTAGGATAATTATCGAGTTCTAACAAAATATTTAATTATTATCTTTATAAGAATATTATATTGTTAAACCAAATATAAATTAGTTCGTTATTGAACCTAAATTAAATTATAATAAAAAAATTAAATTAAAAAATTACACAAAAATATGAATTTCAAATAGTTAATTTGATACTAATATCGATATAGAATAAAATAAAATAATAAAATAACAATGTATCTCGTTGCATTACACAAATACCCTTCTAGTGGTTTTTAAGCGTTGAGAATGAATAAAAATACAATTTCTTTTATTTTCCCCATCAAATTTTAAAAAATTATATAATCTTAAAATTTTATTTTTAAACAATAATGAATATTTGTACTCCACGTGTCAAGACCCTGCTCAAGAAGCACTGCTATTTTATTATGTGAAATTATTCCGTCATAATAATACAAATAGTACGTATTTGTACCAACAAAACTGATAAATGATATTTTTATTGTAAAATCTTACATAATATTATAATTATTAATTTTGTTAAATTTATTTTAGTACTTTCAATTTTTATTAATTTATTTTAAAATAGATATTTTACATATATATTAGAAGGGTACTCATATAATGTAGTGAGCTATATCTTGATTTTAATGTTTCATTTTATTTTTTTTGTTTCGGTAGATGTTATAAAAATTGAAAAAAAAATATTAACATTAGTACCAAAATGATTTTAAAATTTCTTCTTTTTTGTATATTTCTTTAATTTATTTTTTTGGTTTAATAATATAATTTTTAATAAAGATAATAATTAAATATTTTGTTATAACTCAATAAATTATTTTCAATTTTAATAAAGATAATAATTAAATATTTTGGTTATATTTAAAATAAGATTTTTATTCTTTATTTAATTATGTTTATCCATAGTTAGTTACACGAATTCAAACATTAAACTTTAACAAACTGTATTTACATAAAATTTACTTGTAATTTTGATTTTTAAATAATATGTATCAATAAACAGTATTTCAAGCATAAAAAACGATTTTTAAGAGTTTTTGTCAAATGCTTTATAATATAGTATAAATAAATTTAAAAATAAATTAAAAAAGTATTTTATTTATTTTTTGAAAAATCAGTATGTATTTTCTTGGTGTGTAAAGTTGAAAATTCCTTTGGCACTTTCCAATTAATAATAGCTCTCTTCGAATTCTATTGTTTCTTCGTGGGTCACCGCTCCCTTACTCCGTTGATTAAATGTCCGGCGACCGTTGATTGCAACCGTTGATTCTGGTTCATCCATCCGTACCTAACGTAGCACCTCCTACCGATCGTAAGTATCTTCTCTTTCTACCATTGATTTTTATTTGCTAGGGTTTCCAATCACAACATTGCGTTTTTTTTGTCTTTTCTCATCGTTTATTGTTAGATATGCGTTCGCAGTGTTTTGAAATTACTGAGTGTTTGTGGCGAACCTTACCTTGCATAGCGAGGATCAATAAGTTAGGGTATCCGATCGACGGTAACTGCTGTGGGACTAATATTAGGCTTCTGAAGGATGAATGATGCTGTTCGCAGCAAACTCTGAATTTGGAGCAAAATTGTACTACGATCGGATTTTTTTATCGTAGTTATTGTTTTGCTTCACTGTTATTATAGCGTTAACGACGTATGATGTATTAAGCAGATATCATATGCTTGCATTGTTCAGGAAAAGGAGAAACATTGATTTTCGACTTCAAACATGAAATTGGATTCCTTTAATTTCACATTGTGAAAAAAAAAACGTTTATTTTGGTGGATTGAACTTTATGGCTGACATTGACTACATGTAAGAGAAGGATGGTGTTAAATTTTGGGCAAGATCAGTGACCAATTTGGTATTGTTGAGTAATAGGTTTTATCTTAAAATTCTAAGTGTAACTTTTTAACTAGTTCTTCTTGGATAAGCCAGGATTTCAATGGAAGTTCAATGGACTAGCTTTATACACTTGTAAAAGTTGCTGCATAGGTGGCAATTACAACACATAGGTTCAAAATATGCTCGGTCTGGCCCTGAATTACTGAGGTTGGTTGGTCGGTCGGTAGAGGAAGTCCATTGCAGGTTGAAACTGGCCTAAAGTTTATTAACACTCCAAAAATTTCAGGTTATAGAGGTTCAATTGGATGTTGGGTGTTGATATGGCCCCTTGGTCTGACTGCTTTTGCCAGTTGCCCATCTAGGACCACATCCAATCTAAGAGGCTAAGACTGGCCTAATACTTCCAGGATGTGTTTTAGTTTGACTTCTTTTGATCTTTTTTATTTTCAGTGTTAGCATCACAAGACGATTGAAGGAATGAAAAAGAATAATTTCCTTACAGGGATTTAAATCTTGTTCGATGTATTCATTAATCAAATTATAACAATCTATCAATAGTCCATTTTTCTTTTTACAGCCAGTCCTCTTCAAAGAAATATGTTCTCAGTTCTCACTTCATTTTATATGGAAGAGTATGTCTGCATGATGTGACACTATTCAGGCCAAGTTGGTACATGGATAACTAGCGTCCAAGTTGAGTAGTAAAAAAGAACTGCAACTGCAGTTAACCAAGCTGATCAGTGGGGTGACCCCTTTGTGCTTCTGTTAATACAACAATTTTTTTTGTTGATGGGACAATAATGCAAGGAATTGTTGTAACTTTATTTCTCATTCCACTTATAAGATGCCATAAATTTCTTTGATCGTATTCAATCATGTTGTGGATGATTATCATCCATGACCCATGCCAATGTAGATGGTTTCACAAGCATAAAAGAAAATTGAAAGGGACAGTTTTTAAAAGGGTGGAGGGGAGGGGGTATATGGATAAGCCATTTTCAATTCTCTTAAAGGTATGACCTTAATCTGCCCATTTGGTTACTATAGACGGGATATAAAGGGGTGCATGAGTCGATGCACATAGGCTACAGGGCATTGTAAGTATGCAAATTACGTATCCTTAGCTATATTTATTATATATCCTGTCAAAAGTGTTGTAGTATGTGTTAATCTCCCATGGACATCAAAGAACCTACAGTAAGCCAGGTTCATGTGTTTAGCATTACGAAAAGCGGGATCTTTTACGGTCTTGATTGTAACATTGTTAAGGGTATGCAGTTGAATCCCTTCATAAACGATAATGTTTTAGGACATTGCTGTCTCCGTGGAAACAGTTTCACTTAAATTAATGGTTAATAAATTTATACACTTGACTTGGTGAAGTAAGCTTTTTAAATTAGATTTTGACTTATCTTTTGTGTGGGAACATGACATAATTTTTTAATGTGTTAAAGTGATTAGACTTTGCCTACGAAATTAACTATAGTTCTAATTCTCACAGGAACCATGATTAGGTTGTTTAAAGTTAAGGAAAAGCAAAAACAAGAGGCCGAAAATGCAACCGCAAGAGGACCCTTAAAGAAGCAAAGTGCAGGGGAACTGCGTCTTCATAAAGGTTAATACTTTTATTTATACATTTCAAGCAACTCAAAGTCTTGCCTATGTATACATGTTCTGTCTGTCTATCAGACAGCATTTTTGGTTTCTCTCTTCACCCTCTTCGTTGCTTGGTATGGTTGAATCATTTTGCTAAGTAAGAACTCGATGCTGTGAATAAAACATGGCAAACTGTATTCTTGCCAAAAAAAAACATGGCAAACCGTAAAGTTTTCTTTTGCCACATATAGATTTTCATTGTTGGGCCTCATCCTTTAGAATAAAAAAATTCTGTGGCTTGCATATGAATGGAATGGGGGAACAAAAGTTCAAACATAATATTGCATATATTTATATGGGTGTTAACTTGTGAACTGTGTATAGCGTACCATAACGATTTGCATTCCAAAAACTATTGGTTTGTGGATTAAATCAAATTTAAACTCACACAACTTTTGTTCTCGTCATAGCATATCTGCTATCTTTTGGGCTGCTTGATCTATACATTTATAAAGAGACCACATTTTAGCGGAAAGTATGCTTGCCTTGGTACTTTTTACCAACGTTCTTACTTCTTACATTAAAGCATTGGACAAGAGAAATAGTATGATATATAGAAATAACTGTTGGGCCATTAGGTTAGATTAATCAAGTTAGGTCCTGAATAGAAGGGTGTTTGTTTCAGAATTTGATAATTATATCTCTTACCTATATAAAGAATATATATATATATATGGTTACATCCCACGTATAACATTGTTGCAGACATAAGTGAGCTGAACTTACCCAAGTCATGCACCATTTCATTTCCAAATGGCAAGGATGATCTGATGACTTTTGAGATCTCCATTAAACCGGATGAAGGGTATTACATGTATGTGATCCTTTGAACACAAACATTTGATTAATTTCAAATTTATCTGTCGGGTCAATTTAACATTTATTGTGTGTGACAGGGGAGGGAAATTTTTGTTCAGTTTCAATGTATCTGGTATCTATCCACATGAGGCACCAAAAGTGAAATGTAAAACCAAGGTAAAAGTATTGTTTATATATATATAACTAAATAAATGTATGTGATGTTGAAAATATCTATTACTTGCCTCAGGTTTATCATCCTAATATCGACTTGGAAGGAAATGTGTGCCTCAATATCTTACGAGAAGATTGGAAACCTGTTCTCAACATAAACACAATTGTGTATGGACTGTATCATCTCTTCACGGTATGGTTCCCATTCTCCATCGGATACATTTACGCTCCTAGTTTTTGAGAAAATAGCTTCGTGTGCAGGAACCAAACCATGAAGATCCTCTAAATCATGAGGCTGCGGGTGTTCTAAGGGACAACCCGAAAGCATTCAGATCTAACGTGAAGACGGCAATGGCTGGAGGACGTGTCGGGGATACGAATTTTGCTCGATGTATCTAACTTATCATCTTCTTTCCTCCGGTCGGTGGGTAAGTAGCAGTGGATGATGAACTTGTTTTAGGTTTTGGTTTCGTTTGAATAAAAGCAATCAAGAACTCTAATTAAGTTGTTATGGTTAAGTTAAGGGAGGGTTTTTATTAGTTTTCCATATTTAATACAAGTTCCATCACAACATGCCATTAATCTCAAGGTTCGGATGAATGTATTTTTTTAACCGTGGATATTCAGGTCAGTTTATATGTACCTCGACTAATCCTAAGAAAATCCTTGATGATGGTCTTGCACGACTCGACCCGATGATAATTGAGTTAGCCCATAAATGTTGATGTTAGAGTTTGACTCTAATTTCTACTCCCCGAAAAGAATACCTTTTCAAATATTTACAATAAATAATGGCCTAATAATAAATATTCATTTTAGACATAAAACCCGCTAAAAGGTTATTAGTTTTTTTATAAAAAAATTTATTAAAAAAGTTAACATAACTTTAAAAAAAACCTATTTTAGATTGAATTTCAATGAAGAGGAGTATGTTAAATGTATTCTTATCAATTAATTTCTTTTTAAAAAACATTAATATTAAGATTTATTTTTTACATTTTCAATACATGATCTAACATCAAAGCGGTTGTATATATTATCATCCTTTCAAGAGATTCGTTTATTTATTGAGCATTCTCAACATATTCTTTTAGCTTATTTTGTATTAACATTTACTTTACCAATTAATTTTTTAACAAGACAAGATTAAATTATCAGCATACAATTAGTTTATCAACCAGTTTGTAATGCTTAATCTTTGCATGTAATTTATGAAAGTAAATAATGATAGTTCAAATATTTCGTTTACCAAATGTTTACTCGGGTAAGCGCTTATCAAGTCACATTTCCTTACCAGATGAATATGACAAGGACCAAAAATCTTACATGGTAAAAACGAATGCACAAACTGAGAGTTTTACCCGGTAAGTGATGGTGACGACTCTTACCACGGTTAGCGTTTACCGGGTAAATTGTTACATACGATTTCGTTTTGGTAGACTAAAATTTTACCCGATAAGTAAGAGATAAAATTGAATTTTATCGTTAAGCACTTATCGGAGTAAGTATTTAAGTAAACGGCCCCTAAATATTATAGTTGTTGTCCCTTTTGTTATGTCAATCTTTTTTCGTTCTCGTCTCTTTAATTCATCTATTAAGAAATTGCTCGTAATTAATGCATTTTGTTGTGGAATAGGTCCATCCAACAAGTGTTTTTGCTCTCCCCTTGTTGAGTGCATGACGTGAGCCTCAACAAGGGCACATCGGTCATTTTCCTTTTTTCTTTCTCATCAACAACAATATGAAATATTCACTAAATTGCTATTATTCGCACGTCATGGACCAGGATAAATCCAAAGGCTTTATTTCGATCGTTGTTAATTAAATGTTAATTAAACTGTCTCAATTTCCCGACAATCGCACCTTTTTCCTTCACCAGTCCATTCCTTTCAAGCACCCTTCGACTTAAGGGGAAAAGAGAAGCCCTTTTACTACTCAAGAAAGTTCAGAAAAAAGATTAGATTCGACAAGAGTCGAACTAGCAAAAATAAGAACAAAGCAATGTTGGTTACAAAAAGGTGACGAATTGGGTTTATAAAAATCGGGAAAATTGCACCAAAATAGAATCAACTTTCACCTGATTCTTGTTTTGGGAAACCAACTTTCAAAATCATCATTTAGGGGTCTCTATCAAACTTTTTGTTTATTTAAGGGTCTGGTTGACCTGTTGACCTATTAATACTGATATCATCCAGATTTTTTGTCAACTAAAATATTCTACTTCATATTAATTTTTATTTTAAAACTAATATTTCACGTCATATTTAAAATTGTAAAATAATTATGGAAAAAATACCTAAAATTCGTTTTTTTTTCAAAAATTAATGCAATAAAATCTATTTTTCATTTCAAATCTCGTCTTTTTCTAAATTCAGATATCAAATCGAAGATTTTTTCAAAAAAAAATCCAAACTACCACAATGAAAATTGTTTTTTACTAATACAATAAAAAAATCAATTTAATAGAAAAAAATTAATTGATGCAATAAAAAATAAATATTAAATATCACATTCAAATTTTTTATATCCAACCAATCCGTATCAATATAAAGTTTAAGTCAAATTTGACAAATCAAACCAAAAGTTTGATATAGACCCTTAAATTACATGTTACCTGTTCAATAGTTCAACCAGATCCTTAAATAAAACAAAAAGTTTGATAGAGGCCTTAAATGATGATTTTGAAAGTTAGTTCCCCAAAATAAGAATCAGATGAAAGTTGATTCCATTTTGATGGAATTTTCCCATAAAAATTTAATGTTTTCCTTGGTATGGTACAATTTTGGTTATGATTGTAATATGAAGAGTCTCATTAAGCATAGAAACACCCTTCAAAATAAGCACAAACAACCAACATGGTACAACATTGTTCTTAAAATAACAGTCCTAAGTTAGTTCTGTCATCTTGTACTTCCTCAATGACCACTTTACTTGATAACTTAATTCTGGTGACTTTGAAATAAATTTTCATATTTGTTTCCGAATGCTTAGAGTAGATCTCAATTAAACTAAGGAATATATTTCAACAGATTTAACACATCTTATATAATATCTAATCGTTAAAGACCAAATCTAAGCCCCCTATCGCATCTATAAATGGTAATATGTATTTTTTTTTCCAGATAAAGATAAATGTCAGTACATTGGACGACCATCTGTACCTAATTCTTGCATCACAACATTCACTTCATGAATAAAGAGCCAATCACAATCTATCGAATTAACAAAAATATTGTTTCATTTACATACTCCCTACCAATATAACTTTATAAAAAAAACCCGCCATGAAATGTTCATCGAAATAAGGACATGATTGCTTTCTGCAACAAAATAAAAAAACCAACAGATAATCATAAACACACCACATACTTTCTATCCACGCTACCATGCAAAAACGAAGTAGAAAACTTATCATCGATCTCGTATCAGTCAAATGCTTCGGTGCTTGTAAATAGTGCCATATTGTACAACCCATGAATATGTTATTGTGTACATGTTGATTATAGAGCATACAAGAAACAAAGAAAACAAATGAGTAGTCGAAGTTACTGAGTGTCCGCTTCAAATGCAAGGTTAAAAAGAAGGGAAAGAGAAAATGACCAATATACCCTTGTGTGAATGAAACGTAATGCCACTTAACGAGAGGAAAGAAAACAACATCTATGAGAGAATCAACTCCATAAAATAATGTATCAATTAGACACCGATAGGCAAGTGTAATAAAAAAATAATAAAAATTAGATATTACATGTAAACGAAAGTTGTAATTTACTCTAAAAGGCTAAAACAAGTATGTGAATTCAAAATAAACGTATTATATTCTTTTAACGCATAGTATGGACATTTTAAAAATAATTGAATTATAATTGTTAGAAAGAAATAAGTGTGGACCATGGTACGATGACTCCGCTCGTGTTACAGCTATTCTGTTGCACGTGCTGTTGTCGATTGGGAGCCCACGTGAAGTAAGAAGCGTGTGATGTGTCTGTGGTGGTCCCCACGACAACCGCACTCAATCCTAGCCCCATTCCTTTGTCCGCACGTGACGCTGTTTGCTTCCAGCTTGACAAATCCACGTCACCACCTCCCTCGGATAACGGAGGCAGCCATGGCCATGGGATTATCTTTCATTCATCATTAAATTACAAATAACTCCCTCAACTATTACCTAACAAACAAGTTAGCTCTAAACACACAATTTCTTACATTCATGGCCTAAAATTGGGTTCTCGTTAAAGCTGAAATAATTATTGATGCATCGACATTTTCTTTTCTTATATACTCACATAGTCGGTCCTATCGACCGTCAAATTCATTAAGTAGGGTTATTTTGGTCTTTTTTCTCATCTTTCTTTGTCATCTCATTGTCAAGAACAAAATTTTCAGACGGGAATATAAATAACAAAATAAAAAACATGGAAAACATTTTGTTTCATTTCAAAAAATTGTATACAAAACCATAAATCAAATCCCAAGGGGCTTGTGTTAACAGATTTTGTAATGAACATGACAATCATTTTATCTGAAACTAGACTTTTATTCTTCAATCCAGAACAAGAGTGTCGAGAAACTGTTTTTAACCACATTCCTAATACATAATTCCAAAAACATAAGAAAAACTATAATATGTATAGTCAAATATTATACCAGAGCTTTGAGCAACAATAAACATATGCATAGATATGCCCGATCAATTTCTACCTCAAACCGTTTGCATAAAAAAATTGACTTTTTGAAATCACTTGAATTTGAGTGCTAAATACTTATTTACCAAATGGTAGTAGATAATCTTAGCGGGGAGATTAGAACTTTAAGATGAGATGCCTTGGCATTGTACCACTTTGCTACCGAGATACACGATTTTTTTTAATACCGTGTATCAACCAAATTTGCATACTTGATAATTGATATGGTACTACCAGTTAACCCCCTTGGCATGGATATAAGGCATGGAGATCGCCATAACGAGCCATGGTGTTATAACGCGTGGGAGGAAATTTTCAATTTTAAAAGCTTGAATAAGATTAAATGTAAATATAACTTTATAGTTTATACGACCAACTAATTAATCAACAAAATGGGGAAAAGGAAAAAAAAAACCCTAAATTATTTCTCAACATACGGAATATATTGTTCAGTTACTTTCATTCACTGTTCTTTGTTGTTTGATTACCAAACAAGGACTATAAACATTGACTTACTTTGTATATTTGATATCACTGTTGTAAACTATGTATATTTGATATCAAATTATCAATTCATGATTATTATTTTATTTATCATTTTATATGAATTTAAATTGTTAATAACTTAATTATTTTTATTCAAGACGCTGACATAAACACACACATATACATGTGTGTGTGTGTATAATATAAATGTGCTGCCTTAAGCCACGTATCGGAAAACACCGTGGCCTCGCTGTAACTCGTAAGCTTGAGATTGGATCTTGCTGCCACGCCACGCCTTATGCCATTTAGAACCTTGGTTTATTCTAAACAAATAAATAATAAAGTATATAAAAGGATCAAAATATCTTAAGCTTAACGGATGGATTTAACAACCGTTAGGGTTATGGTCGATTGATGAAAGCAAATGAGAACGATAAGGGTTCCGATGCAATTTCGAAACTGGGTAACAATTGAGAGATATTTAGAAAACCACAAGGACAATTTATGTAATTTTATCTAATCAATAAATAAAAAAATAATTAATGTTAATTAAAAAAAAGTAAATGATTGCTAAAGGGACCAAGGGGCAATATTGCAATTTAGAGATAAATTATGGGTATGCACGCAATTTCAAAAAGTTAGAAGTAATACTAATATTATAGACGGACCAATCTCAGTTGGACGAATCGGATCGAAAGAAAGTCCAATTCCTTGTGAATCCACACATAAAAGTTGTACCCACGAAAGGGGAGAACTGACCGGAGCAATCAAAGAATGACCGGCGGCGGTTCATCTGGTCGGCTTCCGTCATGGAAGGAGAGAGAGAACAACAAGAGACGAGAGCGGAGAAGAAGAGCCATCGCCGCCAAGATTTACGCCGGACTTCGATCTCAGGGAAACTACAGGCTCCCCAAACACTGTGACAATAACGAGGTTTTAAAAGCACTTTGTGCCGAAGCTGGTTGGGTCGTTGAAGAAGACGGTACCACTTATCCCAAGGTTTGCTTCTGTGTAATAAATTTAACTTCATTTGTTTTCTTAAATTAGGGTTTTTGCTAGATCTAAATCCCCCTTTTGAGTGTTAAGTGTTGTTTGTATAAATGATTTTGTTAGATGAATCCATTGTTTATACATTGGTTGATCGACTGATGTTATTGAGATAATTTGATTTGCGATTTGGGGAAGAGTTGACTTGGATCCTTACAGAAAAAGTAATTATAGGGTTTGGTTTATTGCAACTTACAGCTGCAATACGGCAGATAGAACAATATGAAATGCTCGAAAGGGTTTGATTTTTGATTATATTGTTTGTATAAAGCTGTTTTAAGACATTTAATTCTCCCAAAATCCCCCTTTAAATATGGTCAGCCAGGTTGCAAGTTATTGCAAAAAACTGCAGAGAAAATGCTTAGAAAAGATCTTGTAGGTTTTGCTGCTCATTGAATGGGTTTATTGCATTAATTGCTCACATTTGCAAAGAAAATTATTAGAAATGGCTGAACAAGATGAAATTTTGTTACCCTATTTACTCGATTCTTCAATAATTATGATCGAATTAGTGTTTAAATTTTCAGATTGAATCTGATAGATTTTATAATAGAAATGTCTGATTATTGAATCATGTTTGTTTACAGGGATGCAAGCCAACTCAAAATGAAATGGCTGGCATGTCAACCAACATAAGTTCTTGTTCGTCGATTCAACCGAGCCCAATGTCCTCATCTTTTCCGAGCCCTGCCCCATCGTACCAAGCCAGCCCGACGTCCTCCTCTTTCCCAAGTCCGACCCGTTGCGAAAACCCGCCTAACCATTCATCCTACATTCTCCCTTATCTCTGCAACTTATCTTCGTTACCCCCTCTGAGAATTTCCAATAGTGCCCCTGTCACCCCACCTCTCTCCTCTCCAACTGCTCGTGGAACAAAGCGAAAACCCGACTGGGAAATGCTATCTGCAAGTGCATTACAGACCTTTCGCCACCCTCTTTTTGCTGCCTCTGCTCCTACCAGTCCTACACGCCGACACCGTGTTCCACCAGCAACGATTCCGGAATGTGACGAGTCGGATGCTTCGACTGTGGATTCGGGGAGATGGGTGAGCTTCCAGACCATGGCTGCACCAACTTCACCGACGTTTAACCTTGTGAAACCGTTGAGCCAACAAGGGTTTTTCCAGAATGGATCAGTGGTGCAAAACGGGGGTGGTTTTGAATTTGAGTTCGAGAGTAGCAGGTTGAAGGCATGGGAAGGTGAGAGGATACATGAAGTTGGAGCAGACGATTTGGAGCTGACCCTTGGGAGTGGGAAAACCGCTTGAGCCACCGCCACCGCCTCCGCCTGGTCTGTGTGGTGTTATGATGGGGGAACTTGTGGAGTAAAAGAAAATGGATGTTGATGGAGATTGTTTATAGATTGAAGAAGTGGTTGGGAGATGGTAATCTTGTTTCCATATTAGAAATCCTTGTTTTAGTATACACAAAATCAATTTTTTGTGACATTGGAATGGAGTAGACCCATAACGCAAAATTACATCTAATTAATTACATTTTAAAATAAAATATGAATCCTTGAATTCTTACAGAAAATTGACTAAACAATCAAACGGATTATATACAGCAGATCTGATTTATATCCATAAACAAATGGATATGAATTGTATCGTATTCGTTCACAAGAAAACGTGTTTGTTTATGTTCGTTTGTTAAGATGCTAAACAAACGCAAACGAAAAACATAAATGAACACAAGTGAACAAAAAACGACTACCATTACTCATTATTTCGTTCCCTAAAAACAAAATAATAAACTTGGATAGGATGCAAAGGGAATTCTAAAAATTTAATCAAATTAATGATTTTACATATTATTGTCAAAATATATAAATACATTTACATATAAATAAACGTAAACGGACATAAAAGGACAAACATTAACAAAGGAAACAATTGTTCAAATAAAAAAAAATGTGTTCATATTTGTTCATTTATTAAACAAAAGAATATAAACAAATTTCTTACTAAACGCTTTATGAACGATCCGGTGGACGTTCGTTTCGTTTACAACGCTAACTATAGTTTTGATGAGCTATTTAATTGTATATTTAAACTTTATTTTTGGAGAAAAATGTCTTTGGGTCATTGAGGCCAAGTCCTGTAATGAATGGCCCAATCCATAAAGCCACAATGAATCTGATGAATTTGTGCACTACCATACCATAACCATACTACCATGTAAAGTGTAAGCTAAATTAAGCACACTTCCTCTTTTAGGAAATAAATAATGTTATATTTTTTCCCCTTTCCCTCTCTTTCCTTTGTAAAAAACGTGTCGAGAACACACCGTCAGAGCGTAATAGAAGTTGTCAAAACCGTTGGGGAAAGTAGCACCCTTGGATGAAAGAGTGCACGAGATTGAGCATTAAGACAATTTTGATGGTGTTGATGTGCATGATTGTATGTTCTGCCTTGAACCTTGAACTGACACGCATGAAGTGCATGCGTGCTGCCTTTTGAACTTCTATTCAGAAGGCGTGTGGCCTTTTTAACTTTTAATTACTGTTGTCTGTCGAATATATGACTTGAATTCAAAAGACAAGTTGTGCTATAAACTTTAGGGGGGTAACTATTGTTGATTTTTAGCTGTTGGTAGTTATATGATAACTGTTTCTTATCTTTAAATAACTGCTTAACCACACCTCAAATTAACCGCAATAATAACTACCTTGTTTTGGTGGGTGGAAGACTCACATATCGACTAAGAGCTTTTTAAAACAGTTCTCGCTCTGTCATTAAATACTATTTCTTCTTATGACAACAATTTAATCTCTTTATAAAATAAGTTAGTTTAATATTAGGTTATGTTCATGAGTTGACTTGGTACGGTACCAAAATTTTCTTTTTTTTTCAGTAATACCGTGTACCAACCTATTATAATTGGTATGCAAAATCTTATATCGTGTATTAACCAACTATATTTGGTACCAATTTAATTCATACCAACATTTTTCAATTGGTACTGGTTTTATACGAACTTCAATTTACATATATGAAAATTTGTCATTTTATTCAAATCTAATTTTGAGTGACATTTTGAGTTTTCAAGTAATAAATGTGAAGTTTAAGGTTTTTTTAATGCAAATAATAAAATTTGCAAACAATTAATGTTCAAACAAAATAATTAAAAGTAAAACATCTTAATATTTAATACATAAAAAATACAAAAAACTAATAACTAATTAAATAAGTCTGTACCATATTACTACCCTGGTACATCCCTTCCAACAAAATTTGCATATTTGGTACAATACTACTAACCGTTTGTAGTTGATACCAATTAAATTTATACAATTGGTATACATATTGGTTGGTTTGATTTGATATAAAATTGTCATCTCTAATTATACCGTATACCACAATACGAGATTAAGAGTGGTCAATTACAACCAATGGGAGAAATAGAAATAGAAATAGAAATAGAAATGGAAATACCACCCTCCCATGAAACAATCCATCTTACAAGCTCATTAAAAGAAAACGTTAGAAAATATATCATCATGTCATTATCTCCGTTGTAACAAAAAGTATAACTGAATATGGTTGTCCGAACATTAACATGAGACGTTAAATCAATTCATAATTTTAAATATTAAGTTGTATTAATTTAACGTTTGATGTGAATGTAAGAAGAAAACTTTGACAAGTTGTTTATTGAAAAGTTGTTTATTGAAGCTATAAAAAAATCACGTTAGAAGATGAGGAGCGTACACGAGTTTTGAGTTTTGGTTGATGATAGAGTTGGTATGGGAATGGGAGTGATTCATATGAGATGATCGAGTCCATTACTATTTTCTTTAAGTCTCAATCATACGTCTATGTCTCAATCATATATATTTAAATATATTGTGGTATTAAATGCTTTTTTTTAATATATATATAAATAAAGAAAATGGAAGGATATTAAATGTTATGGTTAAATATTTGATAGGGGGGCGGCGTGGGATGATGACCAAAAACCGCTGAGACTGATTGTTAGTGAATTATTGTTATAATAAATAGCATTTAATTGATCCGCCAACACGTGACATGATGGATGCAAATAGGTGATGAAGAAGCATCCAAATTAAATTAAAATATATAACATGTTTAATAAAATTAAAATCCAAATATTTAGAGTATCAGTTAAAAATTAAAAGCCTAAAAATGAAAATAATTTGGGAAAGTTATTAGAATATGGTTTGTTTTTTTAGCCATTTTCTCTTTAAATTTATTAAAATAGTTATAGTTCTGTAAAACCTACGTCCATAGTTGTGGACCTAAACGAAAGACAAAAAAAAAAAAAAAAACACTTTCTATCCATTTCGGTAAAAAAAAAGTTTACATTTTTCTTTTAGATCTGATTTTTTTTTAAATTATACTTTTTAATCAAGTTTTAATGGTTAAAATTGAATTTTAAGATGTCAGAAGTAGGATTTTTAAAATAAAACCCCTTATATATAGAGGTAGTTTATTTTACAACTTATTTTATTTGTACAACTAATGCAATTTCATCTTAACCATCAATTAATTCATCTACAATCAGCGTTTGATGAGGTGGAAAAAGCAGTTACAAATTATCAATTAAAAAGCTGGGGAACAAAATTGAACAGTTTACATCAGGGTTGTACTGGTTGTATAAATAAGATATGTTGTAATTGAAACATGTTCTATAGAGAGAGAGAGAGAGAGAGAGAGAGAGGGGGGTTTAGGGAAAATATCAAGAAATGAAGAACCGAGAAACATTCTAGTAGCCATTCATCTCATGTGTACATAAGTAATTGGATTTTTTTCTTGGTTTTTATACATGCATGCATGATATGTACATGTGCATACTAGGAAAATTGTTTACAAGTTAATTTTATGCATGCGTGCATAAAAGCCAAGAAAAACTTCAATTATTTATATGCATATGAGACTACTAAGATATTCCTCATTTTTTCATTTTTTGGAGTTTCCCCCGACCTCTCTCTCTCTCTCTCTCTACATATATATATATATATATATATATATAGGATTCGGTTCACGTGAGACAATGTTGATCTCGTGAGACACGATTTTTACACTTGAAACTTCTCAACAAAATGTTATGAAGATAAAAGAAAACCGAATCTTCACAGCAAAAACACTGTGAAGTTTGGCCGATATGGTGGAGGTAGAGGTGGTGGTGAGCGATGGTTGTGGTTAAAGAGGAGGTGGATGTAAACGATAGTGATATTGGTGGCAATCATGGGTAGTGGTGGTTGAGGGCCGAAGGTGGTTGTGTTTTAATGAAGGAGGAGGTAGACGATGGTGGTCGTCGGTGCTTGCAGTTGGTGGTGGTGGTGACCATAAAAACAAATGTCATATTAGAGTTATATCAAATTAAGGTGTATTACTATTTTTTAGTTGTCTCCTTTCTTGAACCTGACCCATGTTGTGCCAAACGTGAAACTGTGAGTTTTTATCCAATCCTATGTCATGCCAAATGTGGAACAATGAGTTCTTTTTTATCGTGTGTCGTCCAGTCTCATATACCAAATACAACCCAAAAAACCAATTGTAGATGTTAACTTACTTATTATTTTAGTTGAATTGTTTTTTATGTATTACTTTTTATTTCATTTTATATTTATTCCAATTATTTTGTACCATCACCTAATTCTTATTTTATATCTACTCCCCTCACCAACATACAATCAATTGAAATATTTATGGAAATGATGAAAGTTCATTTATTATTATTTGAATATTTATGAAAGATGATTATAGTTCATTAATTATGATCAATACTTTATATTATGATACAATCAAAACTTTTATGAAATCATATATTCATCGAATTAAATGGACGGTTAAGATTGAGTTGTATTGGTTGTACAAATTTAAAGGGTTGTATAATATCTCATCTCTCTCTCTCTCTCTCTCTCTCTATATATATATATGTATTCGTTTCTTGATGGGTTTTATTTGGAAGTTTGTAGTCGACACATAATATTTTTTCAGTATACCATATATATTGATATATATTGATTGGTTAATAGATTTTAGAGTAAATTACGCATCTGATTGTTAAGGTTTGTAATTTGTTATAAATTTATCCCCTTTATCTCCATCTATTATATATTAGAAGAGTACTTGTGCAATGCAGCGAGACATATTTCGATTTTAATATTCTAATTTATTATTTGTCTCTGTCGATGTTATAATACAATTTTATGTGTTTTTAAAAACACAATAATAATTTTATTTTTGAATAAAAAAATAAATTTGAAGATATCATAAAAAATTGAAAAAATATATATCAGAGCTAATATCAAATCAACTAGTTAAAAATTATCATTTTTTATGTAATTTTTTAATTTATTTTTATTATAATTTAATTTAAATTTAATAACGAAATAATTTATTTTTGGTTTTAATAATATAACATTTTATAAAGATAATAATTAAGTATTATGCTAGAACTTAATGATTATCCTAATTAT